AGACAGGGTTTCTCTGTGAAACAAGTCCTGTAACTTGCCATATAGGCCAAGCTGGCCTTGAACTCAGAGATCTGAGAATGTAGGGAGGGGGTTGTTGGAGTTGGCTCAGCAGTTAAGAACACTTGTTGCGCCGGGTGGTGGCGGCGCACGCCTTTAATCCCAGCACTCGGGAGGCAGAGCCAGGTGAATCTCTGTGAGTTCGAGGCCAGCCTGGGCTACCAAGTGAGTTCCAGGAAAGGCGCAAAGCTACATAGAGAAACCCTGTCTCGAAAAACAAAAACAAACAAAACAAAACAAAAAAAAGAACACTTGTTGCTCTTCCAGGGACCTGAATTCAATTCCCAGCACCCATATAGTGGTTCACAACCATCTGTAACACCAGTCCCAGAGGTTCTGATAGCCTCTTCTGGCCTCCACAGGTACCAAGCATGCACTGTGGTACAGAGACATACACACAGACAAAATACCCATACACATAAGATAATCTTTTAAAAATAAGAGAACATAGGAAGAATAGTAAATATTGCAGATATGCAGACCCTAAGTCTTTTTTAGGGAAAAGGAAATGGTTCATATCATGAGGATTATAAAGGATACACCACTGTAAATGATGAAGTTCCCTAAAAATCTGTTCAGAATCATCCAGTATTCATTTAATGTTATTTAATTTTGAATACTGAATAGTTCTCAACTGGGACAGTAATATTAGTTCTGAAGTTTCTCTGCACAGTATTCCCTTCCCTAATGCCTTGCAGTGACATAATTATTTGCAAAACTAACCCAGTGTCAGCAGAGCTCTCATCAAGAATCACTAAGGCGACTGCTTTGGCAATTCAGAATCACCCCACAATCCAGCTGCTTTACACAGTTGCAGGGTTTTGTCTGAAGGGCTACACCTACTTTCTCAGAAGCTGCCTGCCCCGACCCCCACCCCTCCAATGCAGCTCAGCTGTCGATCCTCACTCATACTCCTGGCTTACCTTCTTGATATAGGCAGCAATGTCCTTCTCTATGTTGTATTTCTCCATGGCCTGTGTGGCGCAGTCAACGGCATCCTGTTGCATGTCCTCAGACATGTCTGCGTTCTTGATCACTGCCTTCCGGTCAGACATCGTGACACTGCAGTGGGAACAGAAACGTAAAGCTGACAACTTCTCAGTGTGGCCAAGAGACTGAGGTTGGGAGCCTCAGGGCTGGAGAGTACTACAGAAGGTGGAAATACATGAAGCACAGACAAGAGACATCAAGAGGAAGCTTATGCTGGGCATGGTGGAGCACACCTTAAATCTCAGCACCTGGGAGACAGAAGTAGTCGGATCTCTGAGTTCAAGGCCTGCCTGGTCTACAAAGGGAGTTCCAGGCCAGCCAGAGCTACACAGTAAAAGCTCCATCTCAAAAAAAAAGGGGGGAGGAGTTGGGGGGAGAGACACAAGCTTTCAGCAGAAATATGGTCTTTACTTCTTGGAAATACAGGGCAAGTTTAAACAGAAATGTAGATGTAAGATGTCATGTTTTAAAAACACACAAAAATGAATGGTCTCACTCTTAACAGATAGGTATTTCACACACTCTGAACTGCAGTACAACACCGATAGCCGTACAACAATGCACCCCAACTGTATCTTTCAGCAAGTTCATTACCTTCATGTTTTACGCCACTGTCTAGAAAATGGGGATTGCAGCGTTACACTAAGGATAAAACCAGTGGTTAACACCTAAACAGATTAATACCATTGGTCTCACAGCAGAAAACACCTGCTAGAAATTAGTATCCCTGGTCTCTGGTCCTGCCTGTGAACACTTGTAGTCTCGAGGTAATCTGGCCTTCTGTATCGATTACTTCCATTTTAGCAATGAGGTCAGCTCTCAATTGGAGGTTGTTTAAGAATTAACTAAGGTTATACGAGAGCATCTGCAAACAAGGAGAAGTCTATGCAAGAGGGCTGTCTGTCCATCAACCAACCAACACCTGTTTTTATAAATCCAAAGTTTTACAGGAAAACATTACAACAGCAGAGCTGAGTCCTAAAGACTATTCTGCCCCCAAAGCCTAAATAAATATAAAATAATCACTGTCTCCTCATAGAAAAAAAGGCCAACTCCACTTTGGTACAAAAAAAGGAGCTTCATACACAGGGTCTGGTGGCAAAGAGGTAATCATGACCTCTTTAAATATTGGGGGCTGGCACACCTCTAACTAGAGAAGCAGTCACATGCCATCACACCCCATCCTTCCACTCTCCTCACTACCATGTTCAATCTTTAAAGTGCAATATAATTGTGGAATTCCAGAATTTAGTCACAGCCAACAATGATTTGTCATTTCTCCGAATTTTTGCTTCCTCATGTAAAAATTATTTTTATTCATTCCAAAAGCATTAATGAAGGGAAAAGTTGGAGAAATATCTTATTATCCTGACAGGAAAGCCGAGAACTTTCCCTTAAATAAAAACAGGGCCAGGTGTGGTGGTTCACACCTGAAATTCTAACACTTGGAGGGGAGAGAGGTAGGAAGACTAGGCATTCAGAGCCAGCCTCAGCTACCATGAGACCCAATAAAAACACAGGACCGAGGACAGGGATGGAAGAGGGTGCGCCACTGACATGTGAGGACTAAGGAAAAGGTTGTTAATATTTTTATAGTCTTGTTTCATGGCCCGGCTTTCTGGGTCATGACATTCACCATCCAGCAGGCAACCAGACTTCCCAAGCTGATCCTGCATGGACCCTTCTACCCTGGCAGCCTCTGGTTATGTGAGCTACTTTGTAACAAATGAAATGAGCCACAGAATCCTGCCCCTGTCCTTGACCAGTGCCATCATCACACACAGCAGTATTGATTCCCCTCACCTCAAGTCCAAAAAAGCGCCACTGGTTGTGGTCTAGCCCAATGGAGGAAAAAAAAAGATGCTATCCCCTGAGTCAGTCTGACACCCGGCTACAAAGGAGCCTGACTGCTCCGGGAGAGATTCCTGGTATGGTTCCAAGCAGCTACTTATCTGAGTCCACACTACCCACTGGGTGAGATGAGAACTCAGAACATCAAATGCACAGAATGTACACATGACGGCTGCCAAGCAAGGCAACCCTTGACTGAACCCAAGGCACCTTGGCCTGACACTGTCCAATGAAGCAAGACTTCTTCCACTTAAGCAGACACTGGCTAGTGTTTAGATCAGAGGCCCCCAACCCCTTACCCCAGAGAAAATTTGGAGCTTCAAGGAATCTGTGGCGGTGAAGAAAAGGTCAAGAGATGCTGCTGTTCAAGGCTGACTAGCTCTATGACCTTGGGCAAACAATCACATTTAAAAACAGTGGCTGGAACGAGAGAAATGGGGCGATCTCCATGAGGTTTGAGCAAAGCAAAAGGCATCGATGTGTCTAGACCTTTCTAGAAGTGAAGAAACAACAATGTCACCCGGTGGCCTGTTCCAGGTTACCACTGTTTACAAATCCAGAGGTTGGGGGTGGAGTCTGGCTACAGACAACGAAGTATGAAATTGGCACCATTTTGCCAAAAAAAAGCTCACCTGCTTCACTGCCTCATTCAAGTCCAAAGGATCAACTTTGTCACAGTAATTAAAAGCTATTTTACTCTCCGAGAGAGAGCCTGCGATTACATAATGCTGGTCTTGTGACTACAATGCCACGATTCTTCACCCCTGGCCCCTCAGGCGTCGCAGAAAGGTGAGGCCGAGCCCCAGCAACCCCTATCCAAGGTGCCAGAGAGAAAGGAGAGGGAGCTGGATGCCCAGCTAGCCTTTCCTTCCCGGGGGAGGGGGAGTGGAGAGGGGGGGGCAGCTGGGCCTCCAGATAAAAAGATGGCCAAAGGGCCCCAAGCCAGCTTCCTGAGTCACGAGCCAGTAGCTCCTGTGAAAACGAAAAGGAGCACTCCAGGACAGTTCTCATCCTGTCCCCGGTCTTGCGACAAAAAAAAAAAAAAAAAAAAAAAGGCCAAGCCTCCAAATGCCACGGACCGCCTTGCACCATTCCTTAACATGTACAAACGTTACTGCTTCGCTTTGGATTTCCAGGGGGGCCGTACCCCCCACCCCCCCACACACCCCCACACCCCCCATCCCGTCCTCCAGAGGGCAGCGACCACGAAAGGCAGCAGCATCTGGGGATTGAAAGAGACGCATCCGCCGCCCCGCCGGGTCCGCAAGGCCCCGGCCAGTCCTCCGCCCTCCCCGCGCCAGGCCTGGAGCGGCGCCGGAGTGACCGGGCGACCTCTCTCTGCAGGAAGGACGCCCCGGAGGGTGGCGGCGGCGGTGGCGGCGGCGGGAGAAGCCGCGTCATACCCGAGCCCTCTCCACCCGCTCGCCTCACACCCCTAGAGGCCTCCCCGCACCGCGGGCGGGCTCCCCCGGGGGGCTGCGGGGGCCTCCGGAGCTCGGGCCGAGCAGCGCGTAGGTAGGGAGGTAGGGAGGTAGGTAGGTAGGGCTGGCCCCCGGGCCCCGGCCCCCCGCTCCGGGCTCACCGTCACGCAGGGCGAGTCCGCACAGGCCCCTGGGGAGCAGCGCTGGGCTGAAGCAGAGCGCGGGGCAGGGGCGGTGTCCCCTGGGCTCGTCCTGCAGCAGCAGCCACTGCCGCCGCGGTGTCCGCCTGCTCCCCGCAGCCCCGGAGCCGAGCGCTCGCGCCGCCGTCCGCCCTCCCGAGCTCCCCCGGCCGCCCGCGCTCACGCCTCGCGCCGCCCGGCAGCCCGCCCGCCCGCCCGTCCGTCCGTCCCCGATGCTGCACTCCCGCCGTCCGCTCCGCTCCGCCGCTGAGCGCGGCCGACGCGCGGCCCTGAAATAGAGCCCCGCCCCCGCCCCCCCGGCCGCGCGCGCCGCCGTCCGCGCTCCCCATTGGCTGCGCCCGCCCGGCCCCGCACTGCGGGCTTCTCCCCGCGCCGCTCTCGCTCCACATCTTGTTTCCTCCCACAATGCCTCGGGGCGGAGGAGGGGGTGGGGAAGGGGAGCTGGAGCCGGGGGGGGCGGGGGGGGGCGCGCCACGGGGGCCTTTGGAAGAGGAGAAAGGAGCATGCCGACCCCCCCAACAACACCACCACCTCTCTCGGGCCAAGCCTGGAGAGGCCAGTCTGGGGAGGTATAAAGAGAGGAGGCCCAGAAAGGGGAAGAGAGAAGGGGGTGGGGCGTGGAGACCCCAGATTCAAGGGAGAACGGGAGAGTGGAGGGATGGAGATCTCAGACTCAGAAAAGAAGGCCTCCAGGTCCCAACTTTGGAAAGAGGCGGGGAGGGGACAGAAACCACCAGGGATGAAGGAAAACACAGGACGCTGTCGGCCTCGGCTGACAGCACTTGTGAGCAGAACAGCCCAAGGCCCATGGTAAAGGCATAAGCAGTCCTCAAGGGCCCCCAGTTGCCCTCACATTCTGGAAAGGTCTCTTGCTTCTAGTTCAGCCTTTGTTCACGAATCTCATGGCCATTCTCCCTACCTGTAGCTGGGACCCTAACCACTATCTTCAAAAACAGTGGAGGAGGTACAGCCGCTGCGGTTTATGGCCCTTGGGTCCTTTGGGGATAGAGGTGAGGACCATCTGCCGTCAGTGGTCCCCACCTGTCCAGTTAAACAGGACCAGAAGGAACTGAACGGAAGGCTTATAGGTATGAGCTCTGAGGGGGTCTTTAAAACCTTCATCCATTGGTGGCGCGCGCTTTTAATCCCAACACTCACTTGGGAGGCTAAGGCAGGTGGATCTCTGAGTTCGAGGCCAGCCTGGTCTACAGTGAGAGGTTCAGGACCACCAAGGCTACATTAAAAAAACCCTGTCTCGGGAAAAAAAAAGTAGACCCCTTGCTAGGTCAGTTCCCTTGGAAAACTTCAGGCAGCAGACACTGTGGGGTGTGCATGTGTATGTGTGTAAGTGTGTTCTCCAAGGTTCTTTTCATGGTGTTCCAACCCAGAAGAGATGGACACCAGGAAATGTCTTTTTTCTTCCCAAACCTTGATTCACAAAGGGTCTATCTAAAGGGTGTGCGTAATAGAGTCTTCAGCGGGAGGTCAGACATTCTGGCCACTCTGGATGTTAGCAAATTGCCTGGCACAGCTCCCGTGACCATCTTTTTCTCTCCCCTGACCTAAACCGTGAGTGAGAAGTCAGACTTGCTCTGGCCTTAGCCTGCCCTGCTTGGGAGTATCATAATTGAGTATTCATTATGTGTCAGACAAAATGGAAAATCATCCCCTCGGGTTTCTGCATTCCACAGCTCTGTCTTTTCCCATCTTCAGTCAGGGACTCCACCGGGCAAAGGCCTGGGGTATCCCTACATCCAGGGGGTATTCTGATGTAAGCCTGTGTTAATGAATGAGGGGTGGGGCACATGTGGGGAGGGGCTAGAGGATGGATCATCCACCTGGGGCTTTTGTGGAGTAACACTTAGGGACTTCTTGGAGAAAGAGAGCTAATACCCTCTTTCCCCAACCTTCATTAGCTTCCAGCCCCTTCCAAGGTCTGAAGGTCACAACTGTGATGTATGATTGTACAAGATGTTCACTGCCCAAGGACATCCAATCTGAAAGAGCAGCTAGTGGTGTTAGCTCCTCAGCTCCCTCCAAAGCCTTTCTGTTTTTTATTTAAGACCAAGTCTCACTACGTAGCTCTGGCTGTCCTGGAACTCACTGTGTAGATCAGGCTGGCCTCAAACTCACAAAGATCTGTCTCCCTCTGCCTCCCATGTGCTGAGTTTAAAGTTCTTTTTTTTTTTTTTTTAGCCCAAACATTAATATCTCCAGGAACAGAGTTTAGGAAACTTCTCCTATACTAATTAATGCTATTTATGCAAAATGCTTACTACCTAAGATAATTACTAGGCAGCATTGCAACTATGATAATTAATATATTCCCCGAACTTGGTAGATGTCTCTTTGCCAAAGCTCTTTGAAATTGCCTAGTTTCCTGTTTCTTTGCGATCAGTCATGTCTTTTGACTTAGAACAGAAGGGGTTGATTTCTGTCTCGTTTGTGGGCCCTTAACCCTCCGTCTGTTTTGATTTCAGGGGTCCTCAGATCAACCCTCAACTTACAAGTTTCACCCATATTCATGTTTTTTAACTATGGCCTGGAACCTGGACACTCTTCTCATCCTCAGATTTCTCCACACAGACCCCTCAGACTACACACACACACACACACACACACACACACACACACACCCCACATCTGATGGTTAGCAGTGTTGTTCCAGGAATGGATTCCTTTGATTCTAACTCCTTTCTTTCCACCATTCAAAACTGTGCAATGTGCAGATTTGGCCAAGCTATTCAGATCACAAACTTTCCTTTTCTTCATCTATAAATTGGGAATTATATCTGCTTTAAAGAGTTAAGGGGGGAAATGCATGAAAACCCAAGTGCCTGGTCCACGGAGCTGGCAAATATTAGCTGTCATCACATTGTTTTCCTTCCCTGTAGTTCTTATCTCCACTCAAAGCCCCATGCACAAGCCAGAAAGCAGGGAACCTCCCTGGATTTGCATCTTCCTCTTAAACCCACCACATATCCATCATGTTCTCCTCCTGTCTGCTTTTCCAATGCCTTACATCCAGCCCACTCACTACTTGTCACATCTTGGTTCCCTGCCTTTTACTCTAGCCCAGTGGTTCTCGGCCTTCCTAATGCTACAACCCTTTAATACAGTTCCTAATGCAGACCAGGCTGGCCTCAAACTCATAGATGACCACCTGCCTCTGTCTCCCATGCACTGAGACTAAAGGCGTGCATCAGCACCGCCCATCGAATTCACTTATTTTCTACAAAACCTAAGAATATAATGACCCCCAACCATACAATTATTTCATTGCTACTTCAACTGTAATTTTGCTACTGTTATGAATCGTAATGTAAATATCTGATATGCAGGATCTCTGATGTGCAACCCCTGTGAAAGGATCGTTTGACCCCCAATGGTCTGCTCTACAGTAGGAATCTACAGCAGACATTTCTTTCCTGTTCAGAATAAGGACTTTGCCCTTTTCCATAGCATGCCCCCCCTCCTTCTACACACACACACCTCTCTGTTTGCCAGGTCTCCCCACACTTCCCATCTCATGCCTGCTGCTCCTCTAACACCTCAGCTGCCTGCATTTCCCACATGCAGATTCCACAATCTTTGTTCAACTAGCTCTTCCCCGCTCCCTTTCCTTCCTGGCTTACTCTTAAATCTAAGATGTCTTCCTTCCCCAAAGCTCACAGGGCATGTGTACCTGTTGTGGGCTCTGTAATTTCCAGGGCTCATCACTAACCACTTCCTACTAAACTTGTCAGTCTTAGGTCGGCCTGTCGTTTCTTGAGGCTAGGGGGTCACGTGAAAGTTCTGTGTATCTTGAAGGACCTAACAGTTCCTGAAACATGGGGAAGTTTTCCTAGGTATTAGGTAAACTGGGCATGCCCATCAGCGGCTGAAAAGCACAATTGGAAGAACACGCCTCCTCCTCTTTCAGGTGTCCAGGCTCCTGTTTTCTCTCTCCCGGAACCAGCAATGCATGGTGTTTACACTGGGCTCTCCCTGCCCAGAACAAACTGCTAGCTAAGATAAATCACTGTCAGCACTGGGGAAAGTCCAGCCTTGATTTCTAAATCGACTTCCTCCTCACTTTCTCCTGACGGGTTGACTGGGATCCTTAGGTAAACTCCAGCTGAATGAGTCACCCACAGGTTCCAGACCACAGACTGTGGAGGTGACAGAAGTCATTTGCCAAGCCCTTTATCAGGTAAATTACTTCAAAGGCTACAGGAAACTGGAGAAGGGTATACCTGGGTTACATAGTGCATTCTGGTCCCAACGGTGCTGCAAAATGAAACCCTTTCTTAGAATGAGAGAGATAGGGAAGAAGGGAGAGGAGGGTGAGACGGAGGGAGAGGTTATGAGTCATGATAAGGGAGACCTTGTCCTTACTGTCATAAAAACATACACACTTTCTTATCCTCAGTCTCAGGGTGAGACAGGAACTGTGAGATGGGCTCATAAGAGATTTGTACAATCTCCCCCCGACCCTCTCTCTCTCAACAATGCTGGAGATTGAATCCAGGGCCTCACACAAGCTGAGCAAGTGCTCTGCTCAAAAGTATCCCTAGCCCTTCCGTCTTCCTTTTTTGAAATACTTAAAAAAAAAAAAAAAAATTTTTTTTTCTATTCTGGGCATCAAACCCAAGGCCTTGCCCATGCCAAGCAAGAAATCTATCACTAAGCCACACCCCCAGCCTTCTTTTGAGGATAATTTTGAAAAACATAAAAACCAAATAAACAAACCAACCTGAAAATAAACACTTTGATTCGTCAGGCATACTAAAATGTAGTTAAGCTAGCAAAGAACTTGCGGGGGGGATCTTTTCACTAGGAAAATGGAGGCCTATTTTACATTTCAACATAAGGTAGCCCTGCTTTCTTTTTTTCCACATTTATTCATGGGTGAGTCCATGCTACAGTGCTCATGTGTGGCTATCAGAAGGCTAAGTGGGTAGTTTTTGTCAATTTGATACAAACTAGAGTTACCTGGGAAGAGGGAAGGAACCTCAATTAAGGGGTTGCTTCCATCAGATCGGCCTGTGGGCATGTCTGTGGGTCATTTTCTTGATTAATGATTGATGCGGGGGCAGCCCCGCCCACTGTGGGCGGTGCCACCCCGGCCCTGCGCTAAGAAAGCAGACTGAGCGAGCCATGGAGAGCAAGGCAGTAAGCAGTGTTCCTGGGTTGTCGGCTCAACTTTAGTTCCTGCCTTCCATGCCTGCCCTGATTTCCTCCGGTGAAGAACTGGTGCCTAGAAATAACGAAATAAGCCTTTCTTCCCCACGATGCTTTCGGTCATGGTGTTTTTCACAGCTATAGAAACCTAATACATGAACAAGTAGCAGGAATCATTCTCGTCTTTCACCATATGGGACCCGGAGATTAAAGTTAGGTGTCCTGGGTTAGCCACAGGTGCCTGTACCCACTGAGCCATCTTGTCAGCCCAAAGCTAACATCAAAAAAAAAAAAAAAAAAAAAAAAAACCTTAAGGTGCGTAACTTAATGGCTTTAAATATGTATTCATCTATCTTTGTAGCTGGTACCCTATCAAAATTTAAAACTCTTCATCACCCCCAAGAGAAGACCTTCTGTGTGTGGTAACCCGTGACTTTAATCTCAGCACTGGGAGGTAGGCAGATCATTGAGTTCAAACCCAGCCTAGTTTACATGGCAAGTTCTAGGACAACCAGGGGCTACGTAAACTGTCTGAAAACAACAACAACAAGAATCATTACCATTGGCAGTTACTCTCCCATTCCTTTCCAATCTTTGCCAATCTCCTTTCTACCACTCTGGGCTTGCCCGTTCTGGACCTTTCGTATCAATGGAATCATACAGTATGGGTTCTTTTATGGCTATTTTGCTAGGAAAATGTTTTCAGGTTTGCATGTTAAAGTGTAAGCCAGTACTTTATGTTATGACAGTGATTCCACTGAACGAGTATACTATACTTTGCTTTCCCAATCGTTGATGGACATCTGAGTTTTTCTGTTCTGGGCATCAAACCTAAGGCCTTGACCATGCTAAGCAAGAAATTCATCACACTTTCTAACTCTTTTTTGTTTTGTTTTGTTTTGCTTTTTGTTTTTTTGTGAGACAGGGTTTCTCGGTGTAGTTTTGGTGCCTGTCCTGGATCTTGCTCTGTAGACCAGGCTAGCCTCAAATTCACAGAGATCCGCCTGGCTCTGCTTCCCATGTGCTGGGATTAAAGGTGTGCGCTGCTGCTGCCCTGCTACTTTCTAACTCTTATAAATAGGCTGCCAGAAAGATTAGTGTGGCTAAAGTCTTCATTTCTTTTGGTTATGGAATTCCCCTCTCTCTAGGAGTGGAATCGCTGGGGTTTTATGGCAACTTCATGCTAACCTTTTGAGGAATAGCCAGATTGTTTTCCCAAGCAACTATACCATTTTACATGGCTACAGGCCGTGTAGAAGACTCCAGTCTCTTTATGTCTTCATCAAGACTTATTTGACATCTGTTTTTATTTGTTTGTTTGTTTGTTTGAGACAGGGTTTCACCATGTATCCTCTGGCTGGCCAGGAATTCACTATGTAACCCAGTGTAGACTGGAACTCACAGAGATCTGCCTGCTTCTGCCTTCTGAGTGCTGAAATTAAAGGTGTGTGCCACCACAGCCTGCCATATATGTATGTATGTACAAATATACATGTATTTGTTAATTTTGAGATAGGGTCTTATGTAGCCCAGGCTGGCCTCAAACTATGTTTGTTGCCAAGGATGACTTTGAATTTCTCATCTTTCTGCCTCTACTTCCCAAGTGTTTGGATTACAGCCATGTACCACACACCACATTTTAATTATTGGACTTTTAAAAAAAGTGTGTGTGTGTGTGTGTGTGTGTGTGTGTGTGTGTGTGTGTGTGTGTGTGTTAAAGGACAATTTGTGGGAGTCAATTCTCTTCTTCTACAATGTTGGACCCAGGATCAAACTCAGGTCATCAGGCTTATCTGCTGGACAAATTATGTGACTTCTTTTTATTTATTTTGTTTTTTGAGAAAGTATTTCTCTGTGTAGTCCTGGCTGTCCTGGAACTAGCTCTGTAGACCATGCTGGCCTCAAACTCAGAGATCTACCTGCCTCTGCCTCCCAAGTGCTGGGATTAAAGGTGCGCACCACCACCACCTGTCAATGACTTCTTAATTATAGACAGTCTGATGGCTGTGAAGTGGTATCTCATTGTGGTTTTCATTTGTGTTTCTTTGATAGCTAACAGTGTTCATCATCTTTTCTCATGTGTTTACTATTTGTATATCTCATTTGGAAAAATATTTGCTCACATCCTTTATCCATTTTTTAATTGGATTATTAGAATGATAACTTATTGAGATATATGTATTTTAAATTATTTTTATTACTTTTAATTATGTGTCTCTGTATGTGAGTGCAGGTGCTTGCAGAGACCAGAGGAGTCGGATCCCCTGGAGCTGGAGTTATAGGTGGTTGTGAGCTGCCTGATGTGGATGTTGAGTGCTGGGAACTGAACTCAAGTCTTCTGGAAAAGCAGTATGTGCTGTTAAGCTCTGAACCCTCTCTCCAGCCTCCTTGTAGTCTTTATATATTCTAGATACTAGACCCTCCTAAGACCCATGGTTTATAAATGTTTTCTCCTTTTTTTTTTTTTTTTTTTTTTTTTTTTGGTTTTTCGAGACAGGGTTTCTCTGTGTAGCTTTGCGCCTTTCCTGGAACTCACTTGGTAGCCCAGGCTGGCCTCGAACTCACAGAGATCCGCCGGCCTCTGCCTCCCGAGTGCTGGGATTAAAGGCGTGCGCCACCACCTCTCGGCTGTTTTCTCCTTTTGTGTGAGTTTTATTTTCAGTTCCCTGACAGTACTTTGAAGCACAAAAGTTTTAAATTTGGACAAAATACAATTTGTCTGTGTTGTGAAATATTAATTTAAGATGTGTTACATTTGTTTAATGATGTAAAGATGTGTTGCATTCTTTCATGTTGCATTTGTTTAACTCTGTGAAGCTGTGATACTTTGCCTATCTATAACACCTGATGGTCTAATAAGGAGGTGAACAGCCAATAGCTGGGCAGAGAAAGGATAGGCGGGGCTGGCAGGCAGAGAGGATAAACAGGAGGAGAAATCTGGGAAGAGGGATCGAGGAGTGAGAAAAGAAGGGGTCAGCCACCTGTTGAGACATGGAATAAGAAGGAGAGAAAAGGTATATAGAAATAGAGAGAGGTAAAAGCCTAGAGACAAAAGGTAGATGGGATAATTTAAGAAAAGCTGGCAAGAAACAAGCCAAGCTAAGGCTAGACATTCATAAGAAAGAATAAGACCCCATGTGTTATTTGGGAGCTGGGTAGTAGGCCCCTCAAAGAGCCAAAGAGTTTTAAAAAAACAAAGCAGCTACATGTCTGTGTTTTCTTTTCCACTTATGCTTTGATATCATGTCATGTGATCCCCAAATCACACTCCTGTATTTTCTTCTAAGAGTTTTAGTGCTTCTGTTTTTAGGTCAGTGATCTGATTTATTCATTTATTTTTAGACAGGGTATGTAGTCGTGGCTGGCCTGGAACACACAGAGATCTGCCCACCTCTCTGCCTCCTGAGTGCTGTGTTTAAAAGACCTGGCCTGGGTGAATTGTTATACGCATGTAAGGTAGGGTCCATATCCTTGTTTTAGATGTGATATCCAGTTTCCCTGTGTCATTAACTGAAAAGACCTGTCTTGAGACCCTTGTCAAAAATAATGACTATAAATGTAAAAGTTTACTTCTGGACTGTCAGTTCCAACGTACTTCAATACGTTGACCTAGTATTGGCCCTTCTGCCGTCACTGAACTGTTTCCATTACTAAGCAGCCAATGGGCTCCCCCAGCTTTGCCTTTCTCAGGGTTTGGTTGGGGGAAGCAGAGCAGGCTTAGCTGTGCACACCTTGGCACTTGGGAGACTAAGACAGAAGGAGCATGAGTTCCAGGCTAGCCTTGGCTACATAGAGAGTTCTAGATGACCTTGGGCTGCATGGAAAGACACTCTTTCAAACACAAACACAACCCACTGATCCATTCTGGGTCTTTTGAATTTATAATTTATCAGTTTATATTAGAAACTCTAGTTGAGGAGGGTGAAGGGATAGCTCTGTGATTAAGAATGCTTATTGTTCTTCCAGGGGACCAGTCCACAACATCTACACTGCTCACAACTGCCTAGACCTCTATTTCCAGGGGATCACACATACTCTGGTCTCCAAAGGCACCTACATGCATAAGGTGCACATAAACTCACATAGGCACACACATAGACATAAATAAAAATAAATCTTTTTTAAAACTCTAGTTGATATTTTAATGGGGATTGTATTAACTCTGGGAAGCACTGCCAGCTTGGCAATATTAGTTTTCCCATGTTCTCAAGATAGTTGGAGACATACATATCAACACAGGTGAGACTCCACTGAGACATGTGACTAGGAATAAGCCAAGTGCTCGGAAGGCACAGAATTGGAGGCAACCACTTTGCCTGAAGAACCGGGGAGCAGAAGAGCTGACATTGGATATAAAAAGTGGGCGGGGTTTAGGGGGAAAGGAACGTTCTTCAGATAGAAGCACGTGGACTCAAGCAAGGAATGGCGGAAGCCAGATACATGAGGAGCACCCTGTGCTGAGGAAAAGTGTGGGTGAGAGGCGAGAGCCGGACCTTGGCAGGAGCCAAAGGATGAGCCGAGGAGCTAGAGTCTAATTCTAAAGAACCTACTGCAGGGCTCTGAGCACAGAGGTGCCATGATGAACCTTCCTTAAGAGTTATAGCCTAGATCTTGAACGCTCCTCCAAAGGGCCACATGTGGAGGGTTTGGTGCCCAACCCCCAGAGCTGTTGGGAGGTAGTGAAGACTCTAGAAGGTAGACCTCATAGAAAGAGGTTAGGTCATCGGGGATACACTCTTGGAGGGATTACTTGGAAAGAGCATGGTTATTCTGGTTGGCTCACCCCCTCTGTCTGTCTGTCTGTCTCCCCTTCCTGACTGCATGAGGTACCACACGCTCCTGTCATGATGGAGGACTGGCACAGGCCCAAAGCAGCACGACCAACTGACTGGAATCTCTGAAAACATGAGCCAAAAAACCAAACCTTTCCTTGCTCTAAGTTGATAGCTACAAGGATTTTGTCACAGTTTCAGAAAGCTAACCCAGGAGGAATAGAGACAGCAGAAACTGAAATTTGTTTTCTGGGGCTCCATGGTGGTAGAAGCCAGCAAAAATGGCTTCTTATTTAATAATGCCTGCCTTCTCCCGTGTTAGTCATGTTCCTGTCTGGATCTCCCTCCCTTCTGTGGGCTTCTGTGACCCGGTGCTGCCCTGGCTTTACCCTACCTCTCTGGTTACTCCCTCCAGTTTCCTCTGCAGGCTCCTCTTCCTCTGCCCATCCTTCAAATGTGGTGCTCCTCAGAATTCTGTTCTGGACCCTGTTCTCTTCCTTAGTGATCTCACGTTGCCATGGTTTCCTAGCCAGTCATCAACTGGTAACTTCAAGTCTATTGACAGTCTTCCCAGACCAGTCTTTTAGATTCGTCAGTTTTAACTGACCGTTGGATGTTTTTATATTTACCAGAATTACGTCCAGTTGTGAGCAGAGGAAAATTCTATGTCCAACAGTTCAAATAAAGTAGGACCTTGTGTCCTTTTTGTAGGGGAGGGGGCTTTCGAGACAGGATCTCTCTGTGTCACCTTGGCTGTCCTGGAACTCACTCTGTAGACCAGGCTGGCCTCAAAACTCAGAGATCCACCTGACTCTGCCTCCCAAGTGCTGGGATTAAAGGTGTGTGCCACCACCGCCTGGCAAACCTTGTGTCCTTTTAAAAAATATATTTTTAAATGTGTATATTGGTGTATTAGTGTGTGTTTGTGCGTGCACACATGCACACATGCTGCACATATGAATGCAGATACCTGAAGGGGCCGAAGGAGGACGCTAGATTCCCTGGAGCTGGAATTACAGACAGTTGTGAGCTTCCTAATGTGAGTGTTGGGAACCAACCAGGTTCTTAACAAAGCAGTACCCATTCTTGGCCATGGAGCCATCTCTCCAACCCTTAGACGTTTATTTCAATTTTAGATTAAAGGAGGCCAGAGGTGCTAAGTCTGGGTCTGGTGTAATGTCTCCCTAGTCTCAGGGTCTCAGGACCCTTCTGGTTTCCTGCCACCTTCACACCCTCAGCTTTACTTCATGATCCAAGATGGCTGCTCAGACTCCAGAATGCTTTGTCCTTAGAGACAGTTTTCCAAAGTCATACCACATGTGCTTATATGCCACCAACTATAACTTAGTAAGAAGGCCAACACAGCTATAAGGTAGACTGATGGATGTTTTTGCTTATTCTGAGTGGCCATGTGGCCAGTCACACAATTAGACAGGTGAGTATTGAACAGCGGTTTTTATGTCTGTATCGTAGATTCTCCATAAGTACCACATGTCCAGGGACTGGAGAGAGTAAAGTGCTTGCCATGAAAGCATAAGGGCCTGAGTCCTACTCCAGCGGGTATGTGAGAAGCAGGCGTAGTGGAATACAGTAGTAATCTCAGCACTGAGGAGGGAGAGAGAGACAGATCCCTGAGGCTCACAGGCTGGCTAGCCTAACCAACCGCCAGGTCCCAGGTACCAGGGAGAGATCACATCCCAACAAACAAAGTGGATGGCTCCTGAGGAATGATACCCAAGGCTCACACACATACCCACATACATGTGCACCAACATTCACATGTGCACGTACTCATAAGCACACACACACACACACACACACACACACACACACACACACACACACACACACACAGAGTTGGGGAAACAGTTAAGGCATCTCAGAACACACCATCTGCACCCCATCCATACCCACTCACCCCAAACCTCTCCCTGACTTCTCTACCTTAATATGGTCCCACCAATCAGCTGGTTGCCTAAGGCAAAATCCTGAGAGTCCTAGCTCTAAACTATTCCCTTGTCTAGATCCTCAAGCTGCCAGCATCTCCAACAGCATGCGGGCCCCCTTCTCTTCTCGTTCCTCTCACACATTCTGTAGATCCACATTATTCAGTCTGGGAGCAGTAACCATGCGGCTCTTCAGTGCTCAGAGGGAAACTAGTTTAATTTGAAATGTGTTTTGGGGGCTGTGAGATTGCTCCACGGGTAAGGGCACTTGCCACCAAGTATAATGACCTGAGTTTGAGCCCCGGGACCCACAAGGTGAAAGGAGAGAGCTCTCACAAGTTCTGACCTCCATGCATGCGTAGTGGTGCGTGAGTAACCACTTATACACACACAATGAATAAATGTAATTTTAGAGAAATGTGCTGGCATAAAATACATGTCAAATTTTGAAAAATCAATATGAAAAATCTTATACTATATTGATGATATGTTAAAATAATATTTTAGCAGCCAGGGGGTGGTGGCGCAAATCTTTAATCCCAGCACTCAGGAGGGAGAGGCAGGTGGATGGATCTCTTTGAATTCGAGGCTAGCCTGGTCTACAGAGCAAGTTCCAAGACAGCCAGGGCTACACAGAGAAACCCTGTCTCCAAAAATAAAAATAAAAGGAATAATTCCACCCAAATCTGGCTTGAACCAATGAGTATATTAGGGCTAC